TAAACTATGATAAACTATGATAAACTATGATAAACTATGATAAACTATGATAAACTTTGATAAACTATGATAAACTATGAGAAACTATGATAAACTATGATAAACTATGATAAACTATGAGAAACTATGAGAAACTATGATAAACTATGATAAACTATGATAAACTATGATAAACTATGATAAACTATGATAAACTATGATAAACTATGAGAGAACTATGACTATGAAAACTATGAAACTATGATAAACTATGATAAACTATGAAAACTATGATAAACTATGATAAACTATGATAAACTATGATAAACTATGATAAACTATGATAAACTATGATAAACTATGATAAACTATGATAAACTATGATAAACTATGATAAACTATGATAAACTATGATAAACTATGATAAACTATGAAAACTATGAGAAACTATGAGAAACTATGAGAAACTATGAGAAACTATGATAAAATATGATAAACTATGATAAACTATGATAAACTATGAGAAACTATGATAAACTATGATAAACTATGATAAACTATGATAAACTATGAGAAACTATGAGAAACTATGATAAACTATGAAACTATGATAAACTATGATAAACTATGAAACTATGATAAACTATGAGAAACTATGATAAACTATGAGAAACTATGATAAACTATGAGAAACTATGATAAACTATGATAAACTATGAGAAACTAAACTATGATAAACTATGAGAAACTATGATAAACTATGAAACTATGAGAAACTATGATAAACTATGAGAAACTAAACTATGAGAAACTATGAGAAACTATGAGAAACTATGAGAAACTATGATAAACTATGATAAACTATGAGAAACTATGATAAACTATGATAAACTATGAGAAACTATGATAAACTATGATAAACTATGATAAACTATGAGAAACTATGAGAAACTATGAGAAACTATGATAAACTATGAGAAACTATGAGAAACTATGAGAAACTATGATAAACTATGAGAAATTATGATAAACTATGATAAACTATGATAAACTATGAGAAACTATGAGAAACTATGATAAACTATGATAAACTATGATAAACTATGATAAACTATGATAAACTATGATAAACTATGATGAAACTATGAGAACTACTATGAAAATGCGAGATAAAATACTATGATATGAGAAAACTAGAACTATGAGAAATAATACTATGATATAACTATGATAAACTATTGATAAACTATGATAAACTATGATAAACTATGATAAACTATATGAGAAACTATGAGAAACTATGAGAAACTATGAACTATGATAAACTATGATAAACTATGATAAACTATGATATGAGAAACTATGATAAACTATGATAAACTATGATAAACTATGATAAACTATGAGAAACTATGAGAAACTATGAGAAACTATGAGAAACTATGATATGAGAAACTATGAGAAACTATGAGAAACTATGAGAAACTATGATAAACTATGATAAACTATGAGAAACTATGAGAAACAAGTCATGTAATCCACGGGTTCAAAAAACCGGGTACCATTCCTGGACATCTTCCGGGACCGGCCTGTCCCGCCAGAGTGGGGAAGCCTCAGAGTACCAGGCTCTGTGGGATCCAATCGCTGTGGTCATGCGGGCCCGGACATAGAGGCAGAAGTCAAAGACAGCAGCTGGATGGAGCCCCACATAAAACCCCATATGGTTAATGATCATTATCCCTATTAAATGGCTATAATTGGGAATATACCCTATTTTCAGACAAACCCATATGGATGCAATGGCGATGCCATAAAAATTGGGCCTTCACTGTAGCTCTGTGTCACCTAACTCAGCAGGTCGACACGATCAGTGAGCTCCTGGTCACTTTAGAAAGTCAACGTGCTGTTCATGGACTTTAAAAGTAACAATACATAGTTCAGCCAGACAAGCCAGACGAATGTAGGTAAAATGAGATGTTTTTTTGTTGCTGAACATACTGTTGCCATGGAGGGTACAAGGTGGCACCCAGTTCATGAGCAAAATTGGTAAAACAGAACTCCAGTAACCAGTTCATGGCTCATGGGGATTATATACCAACAAACATCTCACTGGCAGGCCACCACTTATAGATGATTAGGTTCAGTGATTTTCCATATTTTTCCCATTTCTTCCACCCTTGGAAGCGCGGGGGACTCGGCCGGCCGCTGGGAAGCGAGAGGTACAACCAGGAGAAACAAAGCGCCGAGGCAGCTCAGGCACCTTTGTGCTGGGGATGCTTCATTTTGTATGTGAAGAACAGCTACAATGAAGCAACTAGCAAAGGTGGGATTTGGCAAATAAGCTAGGTGACTTTAGCAACTTTAGCATGGTGAGTCTAGCGGCAAAAAACCAGTGAACATGACCCAAGCATTGCAGCTTGCTGGCTGCCACACTAGTCTCCGTTGTTCGGGGATATCATGATTTGAGCCGCTTGCTTTGAAGCACGGTTTGTTCGGACCAGGACCACTGTTTTTTCCCTCAGCCATCTCTTTTTTCAAGAGGCATCCACACCCTTTGGATATGATCAGATACCCATGACTGTAGCTGAAATATCCCCAGGTCAACTCCGCATCAGCTGCTTTAATTGAGACCCAGGCGAAAAGCGATGAGCTCGACTCTCAGATGTGTCCAAGCGTTTTTGGGAAGGGACATGGTGTGCGAAAGCCTCTGGTTTGCCCAAACAGAATATGGCTAGAAACTTGCTCAAGCTTTATGTTTGTCATGTTTGTGGATGTTTTATTAGTTTTAATGCCGTGCCTTTCCACAATTTTGTCTTTCAGGGTAGACCACAGGAGGGTCATGACCCTCTGACAATGGGGAGCTGGTCACCCTTGTCACCAGGGTCACCAGGTTGGGCCATGGAAGTTGTAAACGCTTCATAACTGGTTATATCATATCAGTTATATATCAGTTATATATATCAGTTATATATCAGTTATATATCAGTTATATATCAGTTATATCCCCTCAAAAACCCCAACTGGAGAATGGGTTGTAGTTATAATCATTATAATCCACCGATTCACTCCACTGGGATGGTGGGGGGATAACCCCAGGTAGGCGTCTCCACCTGGAGACAGTGTACTGGCCAACATGGCATGGGATCATTTTATTAGACCTAAACTCGGTACGAGTTTGGCCATTTTTAGTATGACATATGGTCTTTTTGATGATTTTTTGGTACATTATAATTTCTTTAAGCCTCATTTAGTCGGGGATTCTCTATGGGTCCATCAATGCTTGAGGACGTGACGCAGCTCTGAGGTTGGACAATCTATTTTCGGAATTTTGCAATGAAATCTCTGAATTGCAAAATCTATTGAGTTGACACATTTATATGGCGCTCACGCGGTCGCATATCGGACACTGGGGGGTTCAATATTTCAATTGCTGTCAGCCGCCTCTCTTTTCGCCAAAACTTTGCGACTGCTACCCCTCAGCCGTTTATGACACAGATAAAACATATCAATGCATATCAAGTGTATGGAGGCCGATTAATTATAAATTTTCATAAGACCCCCATCCCAAGCCTGCTCCACAAGGAACACCAATATCACTGGTGTGACAACAATCGGTACAACCATATTCCTCATATTTTAAATTTATGACCATATATCATATTGGTTTATGCTTACAACATTATATTGAAATATATATATATAATGCTTAAATTTGATAATAATAATAATATAAAATTCTTAAATTTATTAATTATATATATATAATTATAATATATATATATATATAATATTATATTAGTAGGCATCATCACACCCCCTCCCCGACCCAGAAAATTCCTCCGTTCCCACCCCTGTGGCCTGGGCGATTCCTAACACCAATCTTGAATGGATAATGATTGTGCAGTGGTATGTACTTGATATCTAATTTATAAAACATATATGAAACATATTTATATATATTAATAATTATTATTATTTTCTAAATTATTATATATTAATTATATTTGTGAACACGATTTCTTTTTGGGGTTGAAGGAGGGTAAGAGATTCCACATGGTTTTGGGTAGGACCCGCTGCTGCCTTGGCGTCCTGACCCTTCGCCTGTCCGCTGGCACCGTCGGAGGGCCTGTCACCATTAGCAGCGGCGTCAGGCCTGGGCAGGGTGGCCTCACCGCGGGATGCGCATTGGTGAAGCCTAGCACACCTACTGGGCAGGAAAGGTCTCCTGCGCGACAGCCGCAGACTCAACGGGTGTTTTGCCCGGTCCCAGCATGTCCTTGCTCTGACCCAGCTCGGGCCCGGGGCTGGGCCACAGTCGCAACGATGAAGTCCCACATCGATGCACACCTTGCCGGCTCCTTGCAAGGGGATGTGCCCACTGCCTGGCTCCATTCCCACAACCGCACTCGGTGTCTCGTTTGCGGTCTCAGTGTTTCCTAAGCTCACGGGGTCCACCCCACTTGCCGGCCGGAGGCTCGGGCCGCTGCAGTTGACGCTGCCATCCCAATGGACACTGACGGCTTGCAACTCCCATCCCTTTCAGCCATTCAAGCTGCCAAGACTGCCACCATCCGGCACGTCCCCAGTGCCGCTCGCCATGCGTGGGCCCAGGTCGTGACTCGGGCCTTGGCTGCTGCCGCCCATCGCAATGATGACAAAGTTTGGCGTGAGCTTTGCATGCTCCCCAAGTGTGTCCTTTGCGCCCCCCACCGTGGCGGCAGGCAACATCGAAAAGCCACTGCTGCATACACCTTGGACCGCTTGCATCGGTGGCAGGAGGGGGAAAGACTATCCCTTTGGGAATCCCGCACTGCTTTAAAGCGGGGACCTGGCTGCTTGAGCTTGAACAACGAAAGGCTCTGGCCATTGGCTTGGCCCGTGAGGGCTTCGACCGCAAGGCTTGCGCAGCTCTTCTCTCCAAAGGGCTGTGCCCACCAACCGCCGCAACTGCTGAGGCGTTCCGAGCCCTTCATCCACAACAGCCTCCTCCCACGGCGGTTGGCATGAATGATCTCCCTGTCGCACCAGAGATTGCGCCAGAAGCCGTCGCGCGATGCCTCCGGGCTTTTCCCCCTGAAACTGCGACCGGGCCTAGTGGGCTCCGCGTTCAGCACCTGAAGGATGCTAATGTGGCCGGTGGCAGTGATGCTTTCCTTTCCCAGCTCATTGCTGTTGTGAACCTGCTGGCTCAAGGAAGAGCCCCAGAATTCCTGGCCCCAATCCTGGCGGGCGCTGGGCTTGTAGCCCTCCCGCCGTGGGGGAGATTCTGCGTCGACTGACCGGCAAATGCCTCATGGGCATCGTGCGGAATGATGCCCAGTTATTTTTCTGGCGTGCCCAAGTTGGAGTCGCCGTCCCGGGAGGTGCTGAAAAAGCAATTCTCACGGTGCGCGCTTGGTACCGGAAACACTAGACCTCATCGGACAAGGTGGCCTCCGGGACCGTTTTCCAGCCCTGGTCACGGTGGACAACTTGGTACTACCAGCGGCCGACCCGGCTACAATTTGATGCATGGGTTGTTGAATCGTGCGCTGGTGTTTAACAAGGCGATCCTCTTGGGCCGCTTTTTTTCGCGGCTAATGACGGGGTTTTGGCTGGTAACATCCATGCCGTCAGTGTTGCCCTTCGGCTGGTTGAAGCGCGGGCCGCTACCATTGGGCTCCGCCTCAATCTTGCCAAATCTGAGCTGATTGCTGTTGGTCGCTTGGACATCGCGACCCTCCATTGCCATTTTGTTGCCCGTAACTTTGAGCTCTTGGGGAGCTGCCATCGGCGAGGATAGCTTTATCCACTCCTACACAGTGGAACGGGCCGCCAAAGCCGGCGACTTGCTTGACGCTTTGGGTGAGCTGGAAGACCCCCCAAGTTGGATTGCGGCTTCTGCAACCTTGCGCTGGCTTCGCACGCATGCTCCACAGCATGTATTGCAACCCGCAAACTGCAACCTTGCATATATTCGACGGCATGGTTCGTCGTAGCTTCGGGGATTTCACCGGGCTGCACCCTAACGCTTTGCAATGGAAACAGGCTGCTTTGGGATTGGGCCATGGAGGCTTAGGCCTTCGTTCCACTTCGGCTTACGCCTCTGTTGCCTTCCTGGCATCCTGGGCATCCGCCCTCCAGGCTGGGGCTGCGCTTGATGCGATCTTCTGGTCCAATGAGGCTAAATCTTGCCCGGAAATTGCTGTGGCCCTGGCTTGCTTTAATTCGACACTCGAGCCTGAAACTTATATCGCTTTGGACGATGTTCTCTCTAGCAAACAACACGCCACGTCCCAGCGGCTGGACCATGCTGGCTGGCAGGAATAACTCGGACATACTAACGTTGCTTGGTGCGCAACCCTGCTTTTAGAAGCCTCCGTAGGAGGTCGGGCTTTCCTCGCCGCTGTACCAGCGGGCTGCTCCCGCTTGGAACCTGCAGCCTTTATTTTCGAACTTCGGGCACGGTTGTAGATCCCTGATGCTGACGCGGATACTTGGTACCCTTTATGACGGAGTTATGGATATCCACAATTATCATACGGGAATATATATCGATGGTGGCGAATGCACTCAACGCCACTATGCTGTCCGTAACATTGTCTGTGCTTGGGCACACCGGGCTGGCCTCCGGCCGGAACAGGAACGACCCGGTTTGTTACTTCCCTAAAATCCTGAGGATGGTCACAATGTTCGCCGGCACTCTGCTGATGTTTTCTTGCCAACCTTTGCTGGGTCTCCTTCTGCCTTAGATTTCGCCATCACGGCGCCCCAGCGGCAGGAAACTCTCGTTCAGGCGAGCCAGAAACCTTTGGCTGCCGTAGCGGCTTACGCTCGGCACAAAAAGGCGTACCTTCAAACTGCCGAGGCGTGCCGCGCACAAGGAATTTACTTTGTCCCTATGGTTGCTGAAAACACAGGTGCCTGGGATGAGGGTGCTATGGTTGTGCTGAAGTATATCGTCCAAGTTATTGCAGCCCAATGGAGGACCCCGCAACTTGCTTCTCCCTTCTTTTGCAAGAGTTGGGGGTAGCCATTCGTTTTTTTCGGGTTCGGGCCGCTTTGCGGCGTCGGAGCTGCAGTGACCCGCTATTTCTTGCAAGGTTTTGCCAATTTCTCACCTTTTAGTTTCTAATTCATGACCGCGAGTCCAAGTCCCTGCTTGTGTTTTTTGTGGCTGATGTCTCTTTTCCCATCCTGGCTCTGCTGCCCAACTTGCTGTCCCAGCATTTACTGGAACGTACGGATTGACTCGCGTGGTCTCTGCGTGCCTGCCAATATCCCCTTTTGTTGATCCTGTATTTATTCCGATACATTTACTAAGCTCGGCGGATCGGCACCACACGTGTCAGGGGCAGCTCTTTCTTTTTCCACACCTTCCCATACGCGGTCGGTCTGTGGTCCCGTTCTTTACATATAAATAAACAAATATATTTTAATTATATACTTAATATATAATATAATATAATATATAATATAATATAATATAATATATAATATAATATATAATATAATATATAATATAATATATAATATAATATA